ACACACACATGCACATACATACACACACACACACACACACACACATATGCCCCCACACACACATGAAGGCACACACGCACATACACACACACACACACACACACACACACACACACACATGAAGGCACACACGCACACACACACACACACACACACACACACACACACACACACATGCCCCCACACACATGAAGGCACACACACACACACACACATGAAGGCACACACGCACATACACACACACACACACACACACACAAACACACACACACACACATGAAGGCACACACGCACATACACACACAGACACACACACACACACATGAAGGCACACACGCACATACACACACACACACATGCACACACACACACACACACATATGCCCCCACACACATGAAGGCACACACACACACACACACACACATGAAGGCACACACGCACATACACACACGCACACAAACACACACATATGCACACACACACACACACACACACAAACACACACATATGCACACACACATATGCACACACACACACACACACACACACACATATTCACACACACACACACACACACACACACACACACACACACACACACACACACACACACACACACACACACACACACACACACCACCACCCACAATAAAATCTTTTTTTTTCTGTTTTGAGTCGTGAAGACAAGGGAAATAAAAATCTTGGTCAGACTCAGAAAACCTGACAGGTCTATTTATTTATTTATTTATTTATTTATTAGCCTTTCAGAGCTCTCATAACCTAAGACATCCTTCAGCTGATGTCATTTATTTGTGTGACTTAAGGCTTTTGCATGTTATCATTAAGCTGAGCAGGTTATCTGGTGGGGAATGACCCACATCTGCTCTCGTCTCCGTTAGCTGCACTTCTTCTATGTTATGTCATAATGAACTCTGGTCTTCTTGTCCTCCTGTCCCAAGTCTGGTCCTGCTGGACATCTTCCTCTGAATTCAATTCAATTCAAGTTTATTTATAAAGCGCCAAATCACGACAAGAGTCGTCTCAAGGCACTTCACATAATAAACATTCCAATTCAGGTCAGTTCATTAAGCCAATCAGAAATAATGTTTCCTATATAAGGAACCCAGCAAATTGCATCAAGTCACTGACTAGTGTCAGTGACTATACAGCAATCCTCATACTAAGCAAGCATGCAGTGACAGTGGAGAGGAAAACTCCCTTTTAGCAGGAAGAAACCTCCAGAGAATCCTGGCTCAGTATAAGCAGCCATCCTCCACGACACACACACACACACACACACACACACACACACACACACACACACACACACACACACACACACACACACACACACACAGGCGGTACCTTCATCCTGAACACGTTCTGGACAGGAAATTGAAACGAAGATAAGATCAGATGAGATCTGCAGGTGGAGCTTGAACCGGAGTTTTTAATTAGTAACATAAAACATTTCAATATAAATGGGGTTGGGTTGCATTTGGACTCTAATAAATCAGAATGAACTCAGCTGATGTTAACACAGTGGCCTGAGATAACCTCACATGTGTTTTAGCATCATATAAATAAGATCCATTCAAATAAATTGCATCCTGATGTTGAATCCAGGTTGGTTAAAATGTCCCAACCAGAGGCTCGGTGTGGTGGTCCCTCTAAGGCCCTGCTCTTGGACTCATACTGTGCTTAATTTGGACTAGTAGGTTGTCAGTTTTGTAGATCAGGTAGCAGCCCTGTTACCTAGGTGACCAGAACTAAAAAGCACCACAATGGCTAAACTACAACGTATGCTGTGTGTTATAGGTGAGTTGTCATGAGAAGGTTCTGGTCCCCGTCAACAGACTCATGAGCCTGCAGACATAATTATTCTGTTTTCTCCTTTAAATGTTCCTGAACAGATGAAAATCAGTGTCAGACAAAACAAGTTTACAAAAAGTAGTTTTCTAAAAAGCGATTGTCCCCTGACCCTTGACCTCTGTCTTCTGAAAGAGGCCCAGCTTGTTGCTTTTTGAGATCTTTTGATGCTCTAGTGCAGTGGTTCCCAAACTTATTTCGCCGCGCACCCCCTTCTATGTCCCGACCATGTCGACGCCCCCCCCCCCCCCCCACATCGAGGCATGGCTCTATATATATATATATATATATATATATATATATATATATATATCAGATGTCAAGCTAAACAGACAGGGTTAAAAAAATTCCCCATCACTTTCATTTTTTGAATAGTAATTAATAAGCATTCGATACCATTACAATTTCCTTTGATTTCATTTTAAATAAATATTTAGAGTGCCCAGGTAGCACATAAACAATGCAATTTAACAGTTTTCTTAAAGTAGGAACGTTTAACCTGTGCGGCCAGAGCGCTCTCCTTCCTTCTGCTCTGCGTAAACCTGAGCTGATCACCTACTTGTGCGTAATCAAATGTCAATAGGGGACAAGATATAGCCATGATGTTCACTTTTACCTCAGACCGACTTATTGCTGTTTCATGGTGAGGCTGAATCTGTGATCCGCTGCCACGCGGACTGGAATAACAAATGCTGCAGTAACATGACTTGTGGTCAGGTTCATGAGGAGTCACTGGCTGGAGCGGACCCGACTCATCCCAGAAGCTAATATCTTAATTTGACCTTGAATGAAAAATAACCTCTTAAAAGTTTTTATCACGGTGGAGGCAGCGCTCATTTCTGCCTTCAGTCTGACGGCGCGCCGGAGTTAAAGCAGCGTGTGCGCTTATTGAATCTGTGTGTGTGTGTGTGTGTGTGTGTGTGTGTGTGCGCGCACGCGGCACAGCCGCTCGAGTCACCGCGTCTCGTTATCGGCGCTATTTAAACCAGTGTTGTAAAATGACTTCTGCCCAGCCCAGATGTGCTCACTTGTGCACCCGTGAGCCGTGGTTCAGCCGGAACGCGTCTGACCTCTGACAGACGCACTCTGAACTTCAGATCGTCAGCGCGCTGTCAATAGCCTGAATGGGAATCATTTCTTGATTCATTTAGTTACATCCACAATGTTCTGTGTGTGAGGTTTACAACGTCAGAACACCTGCATGAGACAGGTGTTAATTACAATCTGCCAGAATGACTCGCCACCTTCAGATTCCTCCAACACCGTTAAAAATGATCAAAAACAGAACATACCGGCGTGCGCAGGCCAGAGTGCTGAAGCTTGGCGCATTGTTATTATGAAGCTAGGGCACATGCGGAGGACGTGCGCGCAAAAATATACTTGTTTTCAATTACATTTATTGTGCCCACTTACTTTTTCTTAGGCCCACCCACAAATGAGTTTCTACGCTAATGGTGACATATGACAGACTTCTCTGAGCTCCGCAGCCATTACACTTTTCACCTCGCGCACCCCCTAGCGGCAGCTCGCGCACCCCTTTGGGAATCCCTGCTCTAGTGAGTCCAGTATTAAGAGTTTTGTTGTGTTTGCCTTAAGATGAAAAAGTGACACAAACAAGAGATTACTGGTTATGACATCATTTTCCTGTCATTCTTTTTGAAGCGGTTCAATAAAAATTCCTGTTTCACCTTTCTCAGTGGCCTAGTAGTAGAGTGTCCGCCCTGAGACTGGGAGATCAGGGGTTCGATTCCTGGTCGGGTCATACCAAAGACTTTGAAAAAATGGGACCCAATGCCTCCCTGCATGACACTCAGCATTAAGGGGTTGGATTGGGGGGTTAAACCACCAAATAGTTCCTGAGCGCGGCTGTGTCTGCAGCTCACCGCTCCCCCAGGGGATGGGTCAAATGCGGAGAACAAATTTCGCACACACACCTGTGTGTGTGACAACTAATGGGACTTTAACTTTAACTTTAAAACGTACATTAAACCAACCTCGTGTTGATCTGGTTTATGGATTTGGTCAGAAATGGATGGATGGATGTTCTTCACCTTTAATCCTGAACGGTGCAGGTTTTAGCGCCGTGATGCTACGATGCCTTCAGAGTCCGTGTCTGAATGAAAAATGAAACAGAAACAAAGTTGACAGCTTTTCTGTTTATGTTCTCTCCAAAGAGCTGAAGCAATGAAAGTCCGTTGGGTTTATGTTGCAGTGCAGGAATGTTCCCCACCGCGAGTGCCTGCTTCCAACATGTGGGTCACCCCCCCCCCCCCCCCCCCCCCCCTCCACCCTGTTGTCTCTGAGGAGATGGCTGTCTCCCCACCAGGACCCCCAACTGTTCTCCCATAATGCACCAGCAGTTCTGTAGGGCACCCTGTGGGGGCCGGTCTGATACCACGAGTTCACACGACCTGGATGTACAAGCCCCCCCCCCACCCCCCCCCACCCCCCCCAACCCCACCTCAGAGAACAGAAGTGGGTGCTGACTGAGTCTTCCACCCCCCCCCCCCCCCCCCCCCCCCCACCTGCAGGCATGATTGAACCTGGCACGCTCCCCTCCACCTCTCACCTTCTCGAGGAGGGGAGGATTGGAATCAATACAGCTTATGATGAGGTGAGCGGAGGGGGCAGGGGTGAGGGAGGGGCCCTCTGCTTGATGGATGGATGGTCAAAGGAGGGGTGATCAATTACCCTGATGTATTGCTTTTGGTGTGTGTGTGTGTGTGCGCGTGCGTGCGTGCGTACGTGTGTGTGCGTGTGTGCGTGTGTGTGTGTGTGTGTGTGTGTGCGTGCGTGTGTGTGTGTGTGCGTGTGTGTGTTGGGGGGGGGTGATCTCCTATAAAGTTTGAAGGCTGGGAAATGTTTCATCTTTGTTGTTGTGATAACTCCCCCTCCTCCGCTCCTCCTTTATTATTTGACAATGTTTAATCCCCATACCCCCCCCCGCCCCCAATGCATCCCCTCTCTCCACATTATCCTCTGTGCATTTTAATTTTTCCTCTCTGTCACCGGGGGCCCCGTTTTCCCCGCCCACTCTCCTCGTTTTCAGCCTGAAAGTGGATGTAGTGAAGCCAAGAAACAGTTAATCTCCCGGGCTGGCGCTATGATTGGCCGCTGCTGCAGCGCTTCAGCCTCCCTGAATGAGAATCAGGGGTAACCAGGCAACTTCGGCGCAGGAGAGGAGAAGATTCAGCTCCGACGGATTCCTCTCTTTTACAGCAGCGTGAACATCTCTGGAGCAAAGACAACGTGACTTCACCTTGTGGCAAATGGAATTAAGGAATGGATTTTCTTAGACGCGCTTCCTCTCCCCCTCTCTCCCTCTCCCACTCCCTCTGCCTCCTTCATTTGGAGAAACCAGAGCGCGCAGATGAAGCGGGTCACAGATGTGGATTAAAACGCAGAAATGGGACAGCGCGGAGGAGCCTCCGATGAGAGAAGGTGAGTGGCATCTCAGCTTTTTCAAACTGAGAAAGTAACGCAGCTGTTTGAGGATGCGAGGCGATGCGCCGGGAGGGTTTCTGGTCTGGAGGCTGAGAGGGGTGACGGCCCGGTCCGGTCCGGTCCGGTCCGCTGAGGTGGGGCAGGACATCAGATGGGTTCGGATATAATTGTCCACCTGGAGCGGATGTGGATGTCCTGCAAGGCGCAGGTCGCTGTCCCACATCGGGGTGCGCGCAAATGAAACTGCGCTCAGATGTGATTAAGTGCTGAGTCCGAACACCGTGTTGCTTCAGGTCCCCCCCCCCCCCCGAAATGAGATGTTCTGCTGCAACAGCAGTTAGACGCGTATTCGGCCTACTGGGCGATAACGCACTAGGAGCAGGTGAATGGGTGAACGATGACGCATCCTATTGATTTTGTTTTTGTGCAGAAGCTTATAGCAAATGTTCCGCAGGCTGCGCCGGGACCCTGTGGATGGAGGGATGGGACGGACGAGGGAGGGATGGAGGGAAGTGAGCGCAGAGCGGGCCGCTCAGTCCAGAAAACCTGTGCGGGATCCTCTCGGTCAGCCGGAGCGCGCATGGATCCGCGTGGACGGAAACAGCAGCTATCACGGAATCCCTTGGCGTGGGAGGTGTTTGAAATGCGTCATTTGTGGCATTTGCGCCAGTTTGTGGGATTTTCCAGATTAAACCTGCTTTGATCGCAGAAACCCACACTCGTCTTCTTTTACAGTTTGAATAAAACTTCCAATGTTTCAACGTGAGGTGAATCAGGTTTGCAAGTCACAAGTCAAGTACAAGTCCTGGGGAGTTGTAGGGGAGATATATAATATAAATAACAATTTTTCATGGGGCCCAAAACACTGGAAGCACCTCCATATTTGGAGTCCTGAACAAGTCATTGGACGAGATTTTATTACATAGATTGTGTTCAGAAGTTGTGAAAGCTTCTGTTAAGGGTAAATGTGACAGAGCCAGCGGATCCAAAGCCTTTTATGACTAGTCCAAGCCAAACATCAGTACTGTCACTCGCGTCCACACCTCTAGTTCTAGAACCCGACCATGCTGGGCCAGAATCACCAGTCCAAACTCTACTTTTTTTTTTTTTTACCATGCATCTTTTAGAGTGTTGTGTCTCAAAACTAAGATGAACAGATTTCTTTCTTAGTGATATGCTGTTCACCCCACCACCATTCTGATGAACCTGAATATGAGCCAACATCACCAGTTAGTTACTGGGACAAAGGCCTCCACTGATGCATTGTGTTTTCTGCTTGAACACTCACACAAAACAGGGGTAGGGACTGGGCTGCAGGCCGACTACTGGGAGAGTTTTACGGAACCAATCTACCAAAGAGTCCCGGCAGGGCCTGATTATCATTGCAGGGGCCCCTGGGCACAAAGTGCTTAGCCCCCCCCCCCCCCCCCCCACACACACACACACACACACACACACACACACTCCACTCGGCTTCCCCCAACATTACTGCCATTCAGAAGCACTTTTTGGTCATTTCATAAAATTGTCAATATTAAAACTCGCTTACTTATGTTGATTCAAGGGTTAAATATCTGCATGTATTTTGTTTGTCTCCTGTCTCCTTCCTCCTCTTGTCTCCCGTTTCCTTTCTCATCTTGTCTCCTGTTTCTTTCCTCCTCTTGTCTTCTGTCTCCTTCCTCCTCTTGTCTCCTGTCTCTTTCCTCCTCTTGTCTCCTGTTTCCTTTCTTCTTGTCTCCTGTCTCCTTCCTCCTCTTGTCTCCCGTTTCCTTTCTCATCTTGTCTCCTGTTTCTTTCCTCCTCTTGTCCCCTGCCTCATTCCTCCTCTTGTCTCCTGTTTCCTTCCTCCTCTTGTCTCCTGTCTCCATCCTTCTCTTGACTCCCGTCTCCTTCTTCCTCTTGTCTCCTGTCTCCTTCCTCTTCTTTTTGTCTCCTCTTGTCGGTCTCCACTCTTGCCTTCAGCAAAACTGCTTTCTGGCCTTTCTATTAGTAAATTAATTTACAATTTCATCAAAGTCCAGATTCCTGACAAGCTGAGGCTCTGGGGTTAATCAAGTTTAATTGTTTCTCTTTGCAACAATCTTCACAAGAAGGCAAAACAGTTAAATAACAGGTTACAGATATTTCCATTTGACTGTTTATTTTGACGGATAAATTCAAGGATGTTGGTTGTTTTGAAAGAATTACCCCGACGCACACTGATACAGATGAGCTGACATTTTAATCGTTACGCACATCGCGGAGGTAACTAAATCAATCAAGAAATGATTCCCATCAGAACATCAGAGCTTTATACTGGACACTGTGCTCAGAGCGGCTCGGAGCGCCCACGGTGGACAGTGAGCTGAAGATCTGCAGAGGGGTTCGGAGCGCAGCGCAGAACCACGGCGCATGCGATTTCCTCCCACTGAAGCGGTCTGGAAAGCCGGTCTCTCTGAGGGATGTGTCATTTGGAAAAATGTTCTCTGATTATGAAACTTTGGCTGAACAGCGCTTGTTCCCGTCTCTAATATGGAGACGCATGACGCATCCAGTCTGAGGCAGAATAGTCTTTTCAGCTCAGAAAGCACCTGTAGAGAAATTTGATCACGCACAAAGTTTATGTGGAGCAGAAGCGGTCGGGCCACGGCAGGTGAAACGTTCCTAGCCTACATGAAGTGAAACTGTTTAATTGTAACATTAATATGTTACTGGACACGCTGGTCTGGTTGGTTAGACCAGTGTTTGAAGTGGAAAACACACACACACACACACACACACACACACACACACACACACACACACACACACACACACACACACACACACAAACACCAATTAAAATAATGCTGATAGCGTGGACTAGAAGACAGGTGATGGTTTATGTATTTAAATGATGATCAGGCTGCTGTAAAATGTAATCTCCATCCACATCCAGACAGGATGATCCTCTATTCTTTCTCTATTTTCTCTGCTCTTGTCTGGGCTGACGTAGCTGACGGTGCGGTATCCTTATGAAAGAGTCCTACGTTGAGAGGTACATATAAGAAGTGCAGGTAGAGTTAGAAAAATCCGCAGGGCCACAAACACATTAGGGAAGATGGACTGTAGACCGTTTTTTAGCCCAAAAACGATCATGGTTCTATTTATATTAGATTATTCAGGTGGCCTCTGGTGGGATTATTTAGAGCTGAGAGGCGCAGAGCTCTGATCGTTGACGCGCTCCAGGCAGATGCGCCCTGAGCACGGCCACAGTAACATTCTCAAAGTGTCGCCACCTCAAAAACAAATTTAACACGCGATCGTTCATGTCGGCTCATAACTTTTTATGTTTTCTGTCTTTTATTTGTGCCTCATGGGTTTTACTGCTGTGGAGCGGGGCGCATCACTTGTTTTGTCCTCTGGTGCCCGGCGTACACTCTGCTGATTTTGCGGTCGGTAGATCTTTTAGAACTGCAGTTCAAAGGTAACTCATAAGGTGAGTATATATGAAGCCAGGTAGCAGTTTCTCTTTAGGATTGAGAGGAGATGCAGGAAGATAATAAACCAACACGTTCTCACTGCCAGCGCGTCAAAAACAAACGCTTGGTCAGCCACCCTCCACGTCAGACCCCTGACACCAAAAGTGCCCTTTTTCGTTACTTATGTGCGAAAAGGGGTTTTCCCTTATTTGACTGCAGATCCCAATGCAGCGTAAAACTGAAGCGATGGGATGTCCGCTACCGTTGTATCCCAATGCAGCGTTACACTGGCACCAAAAAAGCTCATTGTACCTCACCTTAACCTCATCCTCTTATTTAACCTTCCCCTCACCCCTATCCTAACCTTAACAATCTTGCCAGGGAACACGTTAGTGATGTGTCGATCGCTCTAAAAGCCGGCTCTATGAAGTGAACGGCGGGAGCCGCCTCATGATTGGTCGAGTTTGGACTGAGCCAACGCGAGGGGGAGGTTTCAACTACCACGGTGGAGGTTAAAAGTAGAGGGTATGTGTAACCTCCCCCTCGCCAGATGGTATGTTCTAACGTTCCCCTTGGGCGGCAAATACGAAAATTCACAGTCAGACTCTGACTGTCAGAGTCAGAATGCATGGGAAACAAACGCTTGATCACAGTGAGAGTAACGTTTTAGGTAGCAAGAGGGTTAAGGTTAGGATGAGGGAGAGGGGAAGGTTATAAATAGCGAAACGTTAAGGTTTAGGTGCGGTTAAACGAGGTGGTTCTGTGCCGCATCAGCGGATATCTAATCACGTCAGTTTTACGCTACATTGGGATCTGCAGTTACAAAAGGGGAAAACCCCTTTTCGCACATAAGTAACGAAAAAGGGCACTTTTGGCGTCTGGGGTCTGACGTGGAGGGTGGCTGACCAAGCGTTTGTTTCCGACGCTTAGGGTGTGAGAATGTGTTGAATAAACAGGCAGGACAGAAAAATAGTCAAATAAAAACAAGTTAGTTTTTGTACCTGGTGGTTGCAACAAACAGACACCACTGAAGGTAATCAGAAGTGAGGAACAGAAAATGAAATGATTCTTTCATTGTTTAGAGCAGCAGGAAGAAGGCTGAAGCAGGAACAGTAAAGATGCAAAAATGTTAAAAGAAATGTGTGTTAACTTAGAAAATGTGGGCAAAATTTTTATTACTTGTCAACATTTTTCTCCAACGTTAAGACTGCTGCACAAAAAAATAAAAAAATACTGCTGCTTGCGTGGGCCCCCTTGTGGCTGTGGGCCCCTGGGCCTGTGCCCAGTTTGCCCATATTACAATCCGGCCTTGAGTCCCGGTCAAGTGATGGCCTCACTGTATTCCAGTAGAGTCATGCTTACAGTATCTTGTGTATTATGGGATGGAAGCAAAGTCAAGCGTTCAGACTCTGGTGCCAAAGTTCACGGCTACTTCACCCAGCTGCCCAGACTGCCTCCTATAATCCCTTTACTTTAGAACAGATCCTCACTTCCTCAGTTATAACACACACACACACACACACACACACACACACACACACACACACACACACACAC